GGGAGATCAGACACCCCCCCCCCTGGAATTAGCAGTCATTTAAATAAGACTATGTACTGTAGAGAATAAAAATGACTTTGGACATCCTCCCCCTTAGAAAACAGGGACTCCACCATCATTGTTTTTATCATTATTTTTTATTTGCTTCTCAGGAAATCTTGGGCTGATTTTTTTGACTGAGGTGTGACACCCCCCCCCCCTTTTCTGAAAAAAAAAATTCTGGATCTGCGCCTGTATATACTGAATGTCCGCAACGGGAGATAACTTGACAATGTGAAATATGTCGACTGTGGCATGCGATGATCTTTGACCCTTTTTGAACTTCAACCTAACCATTTGCATTTATTTATTTTTATGCAATCTATACTAAATCTTGTACTTACCGAATGTCATAAGTCGTGACAACGAATTCATGAAATATAATCCATATAATCCAATTAAAACACAAATGATTTTAACTGACCACACTGCATCGTCAGCATACATGTGCTAAATAATCTCATTCGACAAACCTTTGCTGAGTCCGTTGCCAGTATGAATCGGCCGAGGTGTGCCGAGAGGTGATATCTATAAATATGATAATGGGTGACGCAAACCCAATGTAAATGTAGAAAATAAGATGTTCACACGTAAAACTGTTTAGTACAAGAACAAATTTCAAACTATCATAATAAACTATGTTTTAACATAACTTTGCCATCTAGGTCTATTTTTAAAAAATGTGAGAGTGAGAGAGTGTGTGTGTGGGGGGAGGGGGGGGGAGATTGACAAATTAATCGGGTTGTATTTTCAATGGATTTTTTTCCCGACCAAGTACTAAAATCAGTTTGCACATTTTGATAAATTCATCAAAAACGCTTTGTACTAAAATAATATGTCGTTGAGAAAGTAAATTTAAAAAGTTCCAAATTATGGGCAAAATATTTATCTGAATCTAATTAAGTAATTTACTTCAATCATTAATTAAATTCTGTTATTTCAGACTGGTAATGAATTAAGTATTCAAAATACATATGTGAGGCTCATAGATCATATGGTCACCTGAAAATTTTATGTTCAATTTGACGAATACATGTACAGTGATAATTAGAGAATTATTTTGACTTCTTCCTTGGGAAGTCCAATATGAAGGAGTGTGTATTTAGAGGCAAACACCATAGTGCGGGTATTACTGTCTCATGACAGCATCTAGTTTATTCTTAGTTTTATCATAAATTTTATTATATCATAATGGTTGATCAATACCAAAGAGCAGATTTCAAAACATTATTTTATTTTTAGAATTTTTAGACTATGTAAACCCCGCCCAATGTACCCCTGACCCAGCGGCCCTGAAATTAACTATTTTGACAGAGACACCTTTCTTTGTCATAAATATGTACTTAGATCATTGGCATAATACCCATTAGCAAAGGAAAAGATTTTTAAAAAAATAATTAGATACTTGCCCTAAAACCAGAACCCCTGACCCAGAGGCCATGAAATAAAAAAAAATAGACGAGACATCCTACTTCATAATCTATGTACTGTACATGGGTCATTTGTTTAATACCCAGGAGCAGAGAAGATTTTAAAAGAAGTTATGCATTTTTAATTTTAGTCAATATAGCCACACCTGTACACCAGTAACCCTGACCCAGGGGCCATGAAATTCATAATTTTTGAAGACACTGCCTTATTCAACATAACTATTTACTGGTTAGTTCATGTAATACCCCGGAGCAAAAAAGATTTTTAAAGAAATATTATTTTTTTCACTAGATAATAAATAGAGCCCAACCCTAACACCAGATCCCCCGACAAAGGGGCCATAAGATTTACAATTCTGGAAGAGGCATTCTTTCCCATTATAATTATGTACCTAGTTAGTTTGTTTGTTAGTTTGTTAATTTGTTTTATACCTTGAAGCAGAGAAGAAGATTTTTCAAAGCATTTAATCATTTTCTCTATATAATCAATAGAGCCCCACACTGAACACCAGAACCCCTGACCTTGGGGCCTTGACATTCACAATTTTGGAAGAGGCAGCCTTATTCAACAAAACTTTGTAACTGGTTAGTTTATTTAATGTGCCCAGGAGCTGAGAAGATTTTCAAAGAAAAAAGGCATTTTCACTATATAATTTATTATTATAAACCCCACTGTTGCACTAGTACTAGATCCCCTGACCCTGGGGCCATGAATTTCACAATTTTGATAGAAAACTCAATGCTGGCAATCTGGCCAACAGTTTGATTACTTGATGTCTAGGTGTAAAGAAGAAGGATTTTAAAGATTGCATTATTTTAGTGGTTTTGGACCCACCTCTCAGGCCCCTAGGGGGTTAGAGACCATGAAATTCACAATTTTTGTTTCCTTTTATCTAAAGATGCTTTATTCCAAAATTGGTTAAAATTGGTTGAGCGGTTGCAGAGAAGAGGCTGAAAATGTTCAAATGTTAACACACAAAACACGACGCACGACGACGGACACTAACAGATAGCAATAGGTCACATGAGTTTACTCATTTTATTGATTTAATTTAAATTTGCTTATAAAATGTACTTTTTTGAATAACAGTTGTTTTTCCCTTGCAATTCTCAAGAAAAAGCAATATTGACGAATTGTCCTAAATTTGGGGTGAGTTTTCTTGGGGACGAGCTGTCCTGAATATATATCATTTTACTACCTTCTGGATGCCTGGCTCAATTGCTGATGTTCAAAGGGAATCCATGTTTCTACCATGTACACAGGTTCTTTTGTCTACACTATGAGAGTGATCACTCTTCTCATTTTATTTCTAAATCGTCATTTCTTTAAATTCTTTTAATTTTATGTTTATATGCATTTTGCTACGGATTTCAAAAATCCATTTTATATCCTTTAGTATTACCTTTTGATGTGTGTGTGTGTGTGTGTGTGAGAGAGAGAGAGAGAGAGAGAGAGAGAGAGAGAGAGAGAGAGAGAGAGAGAGAGGATGAGTTCAGGTGTGTGTGTTTGTGGATGGATACATGTGAGTATATGCTTTGCTGGAAAAAATGTGCATCCTGATCGATATCGAATGTTTTGATTCGTAGATACACTTTTAAAAAGTAATCTTTTTTGAGTTATATTTCACTGAGAATAATTTGTGAATGCCCTATGGCCATGTTTAAAATTATGTCCACTCACCACGAATGATAGATACATAGCTTATGCTACCCACCCGGAGCACCCGATCTGTGTGTGGTTATGTTAGATGGTGTTTTTTTTTTATCCCTATGATGGAATAATTGCGAATTAAAAACACGAATTAAAGTCATGAATTTTGTTTTAAAAAAATACTAAGAAATTGTTATTACGTTTCATCACGTTTTTCATTACGAATCGGTGAAGAGGGCACATCTGGGTCAAACTCCAAAGTCAGGTTCAAAACGGTCTTATTTAATGGCATTTAATGGTATTCAAAGAAAAGTCTTGTCACAAATTGAGCATATGAAATATGAAAACTAACTCCAAACTATCAACATTTATGGGCTACGTGACATGTAAAGTTTTTGCGGACAAACAAACAGCAGGCAGACAGACGGATAGACAGGGCCAAAAGTATATGCTCCAGAAAATCTTCGATTACGTGGCCATCAAAATGTGCAAGGACATGGAGCTTGGACACTACATGCATTGTTATACCCTTACAAGTATTTCTGTATACAAATGCTATAGAAACAAATAGACGTATTGCTCTCGAACAATTAGAGGTCTTTCCACCTTCTTTAGATTTGATATGTTATTCATACTTAACTCTTAAATGTTCATTTTTATACAAAAGAAACCAGAAATGTCTCAAAAGATAAAAAAAATATAAATTGAAAAAAATAATTTAGTGACCTTGACCTTAGCCTTGATCAAATATTCAAGGTGAAAGATAAAGGGTCATATTGTAATTGGTCTCAAGTTTCTACAGGTTTTAGATTTAAAGTTATAGGTTTTAACATTTAGTGCAAAGGTTTTAAAGGGCAATAACTCATGTAAGCATCGTACTGAATAAACTGAAGTGTTGCCTTAAGGCCATGAAGACATGATTAGGCTTAATGAAGTTTTAATGTGTCTACAGTATATGGTTTTGGAGAAGAAGCGATAACAAGGTTTATACTGATCATAAAAAGAACAATAACTTTTAAACGGGTCAATCTTACGGGTATAAAGAATGATTTCTTGTAAAGGGGTTTAAAAATTACAATTTAATAATACATCATATTGGCTTTATCCAAATCGTTGAAATGGTGTATATTCTCTCGGCAAGCCTTGCGAATATGTACACCATTTCAACGAGTTTAATAAAGCCAATATCAAATCACACAATAGATATCCTCTATCATATTCTCTAACTGTCCAGGACGACAATATCTACTGTCACTTAGAATACTAAATTGAGATAATCTTACTAAAACTTTGAATTACGATATAATACTTTAATTTTTATATTTCTTTAAAATGCTGGTATTTTGTTTGAATTAGATAAATGTTTGTACACATATTGTTATTTACTTGATGAGTTCTTCAGTAATAAGCATTTTCGTTTTAGAATACTTTGCAATGCATTTAATTTTTCAACACTTTTGAAGGATATGAAATTAATACAAATTTTTAATATTAATTGTTTGTTACTTTTTTTATTATCAGAAAACTGCCACGATGATGCATACACAACGTCATTTATTTAAACAATATGAAAATGATGCATATTATCCTATGTCAAATTGCAGTTATTGAATTTTGAAAGACGTTTCTAAATACCATACAAATGCAATGGTAATAGATATATTTTATGTTTAGTCAGAAATGTTTTAATATTGAATATTGACCTGATGTTGCAAAATTTTGTCCTTAGAATCAATGAATAAAATAGAAGTAGACACATGTCGGAACTTATTTCGTAAGAAAAAACAACAAAACATGTGGGACTTTAATCTAACACTTAACTGATATCTTAAATATGCATGTATCACCTTCTGACTTTTTTTCTATAAATAAAGATAAATATGGCATTCCCCTTGCATACTGCTGAGTTTGATGGAACAATGCTGCTAGCACACCTCGGCGTCGCCTTCGTTCTGGTCAGCTTTTGCGCATGTCTGGACAGCAATGTCAATTCTACAGACGATGTCTCTGGTATGTAAATAATAATAGGTTGTAGAATATTACAAATCAGGTTGTGTCCGTAAAATAAGCTAAAGTCCTCTAAATCGGGTATTGTTAAATCCACAGAATAGAGTATTCCCTATAAAAACAGAAAGATAAAGAAACGGTGCATGATACATCGGTTGGCATTATATCGATATATACCTCAAGACTTGTGGGTTTGTTTTGTATTGAACTCCATTCATAGGTTCTTTTTTTTTTTTACACGTAATTTGAGTTTATTTTCTACTGGAATATTTCCAAAGCTTTATTTCAAATCTTTTAAATTATTCACAAAGTGTAAAACTTTCAAGAAAATTAACTAATCACTGCGTTGCTTCCCTTTCGTGTTTTAATTCGAACGATCTTAGATACTATTAGGAATGGTATAATTATACCGAAATATTTGTACGGCAAAAATAAATGCTTTTATGTATGGGAAAGTTTAAATTTAAATCTTTTTAAATAAATCAGTTTTAATATCGGTTGAAGAAGCAACAGATTTTTTTTTTATATTTGAAGAAAACCAGGAACGTATTTCTGTAAATAGCTTTTTTCGAGTTAACTGAAAAAGTAAGGGAATAAAACAAGTTATTTCGTTTTATACACGCAGTTTTGAATGGTCCATACATGTACATTTATGCTGTTTAAAATGTAAGTAAATGAGTCTGAATACTTTTCGTTTGTACTGCAAGTTTTATTTAAATACTTGGAAAAATGGGGGATGCTAAGAGTCAGTGTTTACGTATTTTTGTCGCGTGGGATTAATGTACATTATGTTGGTGGTCACAATTCGTCACAGCGTACTTTAAGTGCAAATAATTACAATACGATGAAAACACAAGAAATCTGCGTAATTTTCTATCCTCTGAGCCAAATTTTTTATCCGCTAAATTATAAATTCGCGGGGGAAAAGTATGTTTACAGTATTCTGTGGACTCCTTTTTTCGTGTGAAGATTTTTTTTTAGATTGGTGGTAATGATAAATGAGAGTGCATGTGCAGTTAGGACTGCCATGTAAAAACAAGGAAATAGATGAATCTTCGGAGATGTAGATTTTCAGACTGTGCTATTGATCTTTGATCGCCCGGTTTCCTGTACTGCTGAGCAATCGCAGCATACCTGACTCTTTTATTCTAGTTGCTTTATTATACAGTTTTGTATTTGCAATTATGTAGAATCAAGTTTGTTCAAATGAAGGCTCACTCCCTCTTCCAAGGTGGAGATAATTATGAATAAGTGAAAAATTAATGGCATATCATCGACATGGGCTGAATACAGGAGCCATTAAAGTGGATCATAATTATACAAAGGAATATAAAGGCTATGTCAATAAAAATTTTCATATAAACAGCAAAGCCATTATGTATCATGTTAATTTAAAGGTATATGTAGGAAGTATACAATTAAATTTGTTCAAACACCCCCTCCCCTAAACCCACTTTTACTAGTATATTTAACTTTCGATACTGAACTTATTTTTGCTTTTACCTAACCATTGCTCAGATGAGCAATGTGGCCCCTAGGCCTCATTATGAAATTTGTTTTAACAATTGTATACGGTATGTTTTTCAGACATTCACATCAGATCCAAACGATGTGCACCTTCCAACAATGCTTACTTCTATGCCAGGTTAACGCACAATCTCAAAAATCACCATGGACGCGTTCCTTTTAATCAAGTTATTGTCAACAAATTACGTCGTTACAAGCCTTCCAGCGGTGTCTTTGTATGTCCTAGCTCAGGGTACTACGTATTCACCTGGACATTGATGACCGACCACAAAGAGTGGGTTATTTCTGACTTGATCGTTGGCAGTTCTACAAAGGGGAAATTAATCGTTGACAGTGATGAGGGATTAGAAAGTGGATCAACGACAGTCCTGGTATATGTCCGCCGAGGACAGCATGTATTCGTTCGAATAACTGGTGGTAATCGAAACATCGAATCTCGAGGGAGTGTACCGAGTTTTTCGGGTTGGAAACTGCCTTAGACGTGGAGATTGAAACTCTCAACAATAAATGCCCCTTACTAATAACAGTGATTTTTCTTAAATACTTTTTTTCTGAAGATTTCAACTTCTTTTATTTAATAGGCAAAATTTTATTTGTAAAGTTTTCATTTTATTCTATTTTCTGTTTTCGTTTAAATAAATTTTCAAAGTCAATATGACATCTGTTTATTTTAAGATTACAAATTAATTGAGATAAACGATCGTATATAGCATTCATCAGTATACCGGTATTGATACTCAAACAATTGCATTGGACATGTTATTTTCTTCGATTGTCCTCTCCAATCTGTAATCAGTAGATATACAATACAAAATAAAAATGCAAGGAGATGAGGATTGAATAGAAAAATAGGCAAATAAAAAAAAATAGAAATGAGTCGTAAGAAATACTGAATGATTGTTCTGATACTTTTAAATGTTTTCGTTGATGATTTAACATATCTTTTTACAATTTTAACGATGTTGAGATTATTTTGATTTCTAAGAGAGCGGCTCCCATCAGCCAAGTACCTCAAATCATTTGACTCGACACTAGTCTAGTGTCTCGGCGGTGTGATATATATGGGATTTTTAAGATAATTTTACTTTAGTAATTAGATACAGATATGCCATCAATAAGAGTCTTTTTGCATATCTGTTATACAGATTATCAAATTAGTTAGGAGAAGAGCATATCACTCAGATTATTATTGTGTTTAATGACAAAAAAGTTTATTGTGGAAGGACTGTATTGCAATCCTTTTATTTCTTAGAATATGCTGGTATTTCAATAATTTTCATACCTTAATTTTATTGGTAATTTTTTTTAGCGGATATTGCATACAGAATAGGGCATACAGAATGACACAATTTATAGACTTCCCAATTAAACTAAATATCGAAGAAATTGACATAAATAAATATCTTCAGTTCAATATTTAATGTACATAAAGTACAAAAGATTTAGCTGCCTCCATAATCAAAGATTCGAGGAGTTAATTGTTTTTACTGTCTCACCCTCTCTCTGTATAACTCTGTGTCTGATTGAAAAATGTATCCTTGACTTAAACTTTAATTGGTTAGAGATTGGTTTTCATATTTCATGAGTATTCCTTGTGACAAGATCTTTCAATGGAAACCAATGTATTGACAGATTGAACTTACTTGTTAGTATGTCTCACGTTTGCAAAAAAGTACAAAGTTTTAATTTTAGCACTAACTTTTAAAGTGCCATGTCCTTCTTCTGGGTACAAGTACTAGTATGTGTGAGTATTTGGCTCAAATTCTGGACTTTGAACAACTTTTGAAATGATTACCCTTTTCAATAACTTATGAACAGTCGATTTCTAGGTAATTGATAAGTATATTCATCAAGACAGGTCCCTACTCTGTAATACAGCATTTTTTTTATTTTGATCTTAGAATTAAAGCTGCATTTGAAAAAAAAACTTTGACTTTTGTCATATATCCCCTTTCACCGGAATCAGTTTTTCACAAGCTCATTTTGTTTTAACTAGGTTTTAATGAAATGAAATCTCGATTTTTTTTATACCTATAGTGTATTGGTCTTTTTTGTTAAAAAAAATTATGCATCACGCAAGGCCATTGTCTAAGCCAATGAATTGAAGAGCAAAAAGAAGATTACTGAAGAAATACATTATTGCTTACAGGATGACAGGACCTTGACTTCACCATAAGTAAATTTATTACAACTCTTTATAGATATATCTTTGGTTTCCCGTTTCCCAATATTTCAAAACAATCTTTAAGCTCCAGAATATTACGTTATACGCCTATTTTCTATTGAGTTGATGAAAACTCAAAGCAAAGTTAACTTTCATGTGTTTATTTCAAAGATCTTAAAAAACATTTCTATAAAGACACAGTCTCACTTTTGCAAACTGCTCAGTTACAAGCGTCGAAGAGTAGTGAAACTTGACAGAAATAAATCTCTCATACATTCCATTACATTATTGATAAAAATGTAGGATTTTTGAATATTTTTTTAATATTGGTGTTTTAACTTTGTTGATTGTTTTGTTACGGGACAGGAGACAATTTTTTAAAAACAAACCAGCTTATTCCAAAAGTTCACTCTTTCATTCTTTACAAACTCCATGTTTATAGAATTTCTACAATTGATCACGGTTTGTTATTTGCACATCATAGATTCTGGTAATTTTGTCAATTAAATTTGTTGGTTTTATCTTAATCTGTTTGTTTTATAGGTGTTTTTCTCTACATTAATTGGTAGTTTTGCATTAACTTTCGTTTCTCATTGCATCACCAATGTACGTGATGGAGAATCTTTTTATCGATTAACCAAAAGACACCACAGATAACAATTTCTGATACCCTTCTGAAGATTGACGGACCAAACATTATAATTCTTCAAAAAGTTACATCCACACAATTTTTCGAGAACGTTTGGTCAACAAGACTTCCTACCTAAGAGACCAGGCATCGCAGTACAGCATTTGGACTTTATTATCACATAATGAATTATTCGACCTTTAAAATCATTAAAAGTGAGACAGCAAATTCACATGCAATTTTATTTAATAAAATAACAATAAAACCTGTCGCACATAAATCTATAGAACCTTTGAAAAGTTTTTCAGCTCAATTATAGTAATTGTATCTCTTTCACACTTGAAAAATCTTCTCAGTTTACATCTTTTTATAAAATGAAGATACTAATAAAATATCAAAGGCTAATATCAATAGCATCTGTTGTTTACAAATAAGTTATTAGAAATATGTTTTGTTTGACACCTACTCAAATATGCTATTGAAATAAAGCATTTTTTTAGTTTCAGTCTTGATCCAAATTGGTGACTCAAAACTAACAAACAGATAAGAATATGTCATAATCATTCACTATATTCATGGTATTCAATTTTTATTAGAGACAAAGGCACTGGAAATATATTCCCGGACATTACTGATGACTTTCACATGGTTTTGGCCAGAAGGCTTCATATTCGAAAACATTAGAAAAGATTTCTATTAACTTACATTTATACTTTAAAATATCGGATTTGTTGTTTGCTGTACATTTAACGTACGGGACTCGAGAAGTTTACACTTACGAGGGTTGTCCCAAGAAGTCATAGAAAGGGAAAACAGTTTAGTTTCTCTTTACTTAATTAAATTTCTTTCCTTGTAATAGCAAGACATATATTCAAAAAATTCACAACAACATTGAATATATTATGTCTATGCAAAATTTGATTTGTATTGGTTACATGTTTTAAAAATTATAAATAACCCTCGTGCATGTATATGGAGTTGTCATCGCAGATGAAAACTGTACAACTCGCATACAAGACAGACCGGTCACCCCAAAGACAACTCCCCCCAAATCAGGACAATTCGCGCCCATTTAAGACAACTCTCTCCCAGTTTAAGAAACCAATAAATTTTAATGATATGATATAGATATCTGAATTCGAAATGTTTCTATAAAGTTAAAACAAGCAATTTTAATTGATTATAGTATATTTGAAAATAAAACAAAAATATTCATAATTTCAACACTAACATACATTTTTACTACTGGCATTATTTCTATATATCTTCGCACATTTAATTTCTTACCCTTTCATAAAAAATAAAACTAAATATATGTAGTTTTAGAGCTTGCATGCTTTAATCATTACGTTGATGCTGGTTTGCAGCTTGGAAACGCCACGCCATTTTTTTACAACTAAATATATGTAATATCTAGAGTTTGTATGTCCTTAATAGTTATCACTTTGAAGTATGGTATCATAATTATTAGTTATCTTGGAGGTGTTATTAAAAATTTCGTATGTTTTCATTTCTTTAGTAATAGCCATTATGATAATTTTCAATACGCCGTCGTTTAATATTCAATTTCTTCATACATTAACTGCTATTTTAACACTGAAGACAATGTGCTTTATTGAAATAGACAAATAGAATTAATTCATTCAAAACGCATTTATTCACTATATTTTGTCAGAATAAAATTTAAGAAAGCATAAATATTATGATAAATCAGTGATTATGCATGATGGTTATGGAGGTAACGAACAGTAATCAATAATAAAGTCCACAAAATAATACAAAATTGGAGCAGAGCAAACTCGGATCTCTAAAACATCAGGAGTGTGAGCAGGTGCCATGGAGGTGTGAACATCCATTGCTGACCGGTCACACCTGCCGTGTTCTCCTTGTCATGATCAGGAAATATCGGAAAAATTCGTTGTCTATTTAGTGTATAAATAATGGACTAACAATAAGTATGAAAAACTTCAGTCAGCATTTGACTCAATGATGAATTCTATTTGCTGACTAGGTCATTGTATCGACCAAAACTTGCAAAATGATGACTTTAAACGAGACTGTTGATTTTCTTGTTTCATGAACTTGCTTGTCAATGATGTACCTCGTTCAGAGATTGTTCATATGTAGAGCATGCTCTTTCATACCGTATCAACTGAGATAAGTAAACACTATATGCAGGTGATGAAGTTATATTGCTGCATAATTAAGGAAAGTTGACAAAAGAAAAGTTAGAATTATAACCTTAATCATAGAGCCTGGTTATTACATGTAGATTACCACTGATGTCTTTTTCAAGTAAAATATCCAAGTATGAAACAGATGTATCAGATTCTGTAGTATCTTTTATCTCAAGCTCACCGGGATATATGTCATCGAAATAGGATTGAAAATTTGCATTGTTAATTGACAATACGTCGTCGATACATCTAAATGCATAAACTTTCGGCAATCCTCGCGAATATGTTCACCTTTTCAACGCATTTGATAAAGCCAATACCAAACCACACAATAAAGATACGCAGCATAGTTAAGGCTTGAATAAGGGGGCGGGGCCTAATTTATACGGGAAAAGTTTACTGTGACGTCACACAAAAATATGATTTTTATGTATTTCTCATTGTACCTGAAAATAAAATAGTTTGCAACTTTTAACTGTATTCGCATAATAAACAACAATTAAACTTATCAATGCATCTAAAAAACTTGCTAGTTAAATCCCATGTAGCTTGTTATAGACAAAGCACTGATCGACATGAACTTGTAAACATGACGTCATTTTGGTAAAAATGACGTATTTCATGTGCTGTGAGATCAGATTCAGGATTTTTTTAACAATGAAAAATGTGTTTTATTATTAAACGAAATACTATTTACAGGTTTTAAACAGTCGATTAATACCAATGCATATCCTCTGTTTAGTGCGATTATTAATTAATTATCAAGAGAATGTGTTTAATTAATTATATCGTGTTTTTATGTACAGGGTACGTATATTTTGCATTGAGATGCCTCATAAAATCGCACTTTCGCAAGGGCATACACTTTATAGATCTTAACCATTTTTTGAATATAGATAAAGGATATTTTTCTTAACTTGAAAAGTGCTGCTGCTTTCTTTAAATCGACGGCGTGATTTTATAAGTACACAAAATATTTGGTAAAATACAAACATATTTCGACATTAGCTTATTTACCTGAAAATTTAACTATTGAAACGCGAAATATATTCAAAGCAGCAGCACTTTTCAGAAACTACAAAGTATGCTGATACAAATAATAACTTGAATTTTTAATTTCAACTAGGGTATGCCCTTGCGATATTGAAATTTGTTCATGACCTACATTCAGTTCACGAACTATGCATTCATCACGTGACTGTCCATCGATGGGACCAAACTTCATACAGTACAGAGTGGGTTATACTATGCTATTTCAATAAGTATTTGTGTTCTGTATTAATAAAACAGCTAAATTAAAATAAATTCAGTTTTAAAAAGGTCCCCCTTTTTTGCACATCTATTTTAAGTTGATTTCTCATAGTAGGCTTAATCAGTGCTGCGTATCCTCTATTATGTTCTCTGACTGTCAAGGACGATAATTTGTACTGTAACATAGAATACTAAATTAAGATAATCTCTCTAAAACTTTGAATTATAATATGATACTTTAATTTGTATTTCTTTAAAATGCTGGTATTTTTTTTTTGGACTTAGATAAATGTTTGTACACATATGGTTATTTGCTTGATGAGTTTTTCAGTTATAAGCATTAAAAAAAAAATACTTTGCAATGCATTTAATATTTCAACACTTCTGAAGCAAATGAAATGTATACAAATTGTTAATATTAAATTGTTTGATTGGTTGTATACTGATATAGAGACGTCACCATTGCAAATTTAGGCCTATGCTCGGCACTAACGGCCTTTGAGCAGGAAGGGATCTTTATCGTGCCACACCCGCTGTGACACGGGGCCTCGGTTTATACGATCTCATCCGAAGGACCGCCCCATTTAGTCGCCTTTTACGACAAGCAAGAGGGTACTGAGGAACTATTCTAACCCGGATCCCCACGGGGCTTAATTGTTTGATACTTTTTTGATTTTCAGAAAACTGCCACGCTGATGCATTCACAACGCCATTTATTTAAACAATATGAAAAATGATCTCCTCTTATGTCAAATTGCAGTTATTGAATTTTGACAGACGTTTCTTAATACAATACCTTTGCAATTGTAATAGATATATTTAATCCAAAATATGTGATAAAATATCGTCTCTGTCAACTAAATGTTTAGTTAGAAATGTTTTAATATTGAACATTGACCTGATGTTGCAAAATTTTGTCTACAGAATCAATGAATAAAATAGAGGTAGCCACATGTCGGAATTTATTTCGTTAGAAAAAAATGAAAACTGTGGGACTTTAATCTAACACTTCATTGATATCTTAAATATGCATACAACTCCTACTGATTTTTTTTCTATAAATAAAGATAAATATGACATTCTTCTTGCATACTACTGAGTTTGATAGACACAATGCTGCTAGCACATCTCGGCCTCGTCTTCGTTCTTGTCGGCTTTTGCGCATGCCTGGACAGCCATGTCAAATCTTCTCTGGTATGTAAATAATAATAGGTTGTAGAATATATTCCAAATCAGGTTGTGTATGTAAAATCGGATAAAGTCCCCTAAACCGGGTATCGTTAAATCCGCAAAGTATGGTTTCCCGTGCAAACAGAAAGATAAAAGAACGGTGCATGGTATCAATTGGCATTATATAGATATATACTTGTGGGTTTATTTTGTATTAAACCTCATTCTAAGTTCTTTTTTATTTTTCACTGGAATATTCCCACAACTTATTTTCTAATATTTTGCATTATATACAAAGTGTATATTTTTCAAGAAAATTTATGACTCACCGCGTTACTTCCCTTTCCCATTTAAAATCGAACGATCTTAGATACTATTAGGGATGGTATAATTATACCGGAACATTTTTTCAGCAAAAAAAAAATTATGCAAAGAATTCTTTAAAAAAAGGACGACTTTTCATATCAATTTTAGAATATATCTGAGGAACGTTATAAAGATTTTTGTGTGAAATATAATGATTAAAAAGAATTTTAAGAACAAAGATGAGTTTATTTAAAAAAAAAAAAACTTGTACGGCCGTTCAATCACTTTCATGATAGCAATATTTAGTTGTTTTGTATTACATTACTGAAACATCTCATGTAAGACTATCTTGGTGAAATACATGGGAATTTTTTTTTTGTTCCCAGACTTTTAGTTTTTGTAGTTATGTAGTGCAGGGTATAACGTGAAAATGTTGCAAATATTTTTAACATTGTGAGGCAAAACGAACACCAGTTTTGGTGCAGAAGGAGAATTAAACGTGCTCTCCTCCATTTGATTTAGTACTTGCTGCCATCTCCGCAAAAAACCAGACTTCAAAATACTTTCTCGACTATTAGCTAATATCTTTGACTAATAATGATTTCTGGTGAAAATTGACTAGTCAACATGTGCTGTCACGATGTTTAAATTTTGAAAATATTTTTAGTTAAATAAAGAAAATAAAAGCTAACTTTTTTTTCATTAAGGCAATTACAAAATCTGTAATAGATTTCAATGTCATTGAAAAATTGCACATCACAGAAACTACAAGTTAAAATGGGAATTCTTCAAATTCGCTGAAAATGCCTAATTTATTTACTTGAATGTTATTCAGAATTGAAATTTGAGCAGATTTTCTATTTCTCTTGTAACACGAGCTTTGATTGCTTACAGAGTCGGGTGTAAATTTCCTTGCTCTGGACTTGAGCCGGGGAAAAATAAAACGTGACGTCACAATGCACACTTTCTCTATGATAAAAACCAAATAACATGACTTCATGATGCATTGTAGTACATAGTTATCTTATCGATAGAGTGAGACACAGATGATTAGACTTTGATGTTTACAGAGCATTTTTATTGATATATAGGAAATAAATTCGTTACCCAGGTCCAATTATGGGTGTAGGATTTACCCCGGGTTGTATTCCATTCACCCTGAGGCCGAAGGCCCGGAAAACGCGGGGTAAATCCCCGTACACCCTTGACTGAACCTTGATAACTAATAATATTGTTTGCTTGAAAAGAGGGAGGGTGTATATAGAGATCAGGATGTACGTCCGTCTGTACGTCTGTCCGTCTGTTACCCTTTTGGGTACACGTCTCTTATTCAGGATTTCTCTTATACCACACAATGAAATTTAATGAGATTTCACAGAATCTTTGTTACATAGGGTCATTGTACATCTCCTATTATACTTTTTGATTGGACACAAATGTAATATGATTTCCGAGAGCAAAACATTCCTTCTGATTAATATTGAAGGATGCCAATCTCTAATTCACAACTTATTATAAAACACTGTTTAAAATAAATGATACTTTCACAGATTCTACATCATGCCACCTTCTATTTTTCTTTTTGATTTGACTCATATTTCGGGTCTCCCGGAGCAAAACACAAACTTAACCATTATAAACATATGGAAGGTGTGATGTATCATATAGTTAGCACAGTGCCCACAGTACCTTTTTTATATAGAATTACTACATGTACTATAACAAGATGAAAATGAATGTTCTGCTATAAACAGTTAAAAAAAAGAAGAGGGAATGGTGTGTGTCGTGTTGTTAAAAGCTTTCTAAGATTAATGTCAAATTATTATTCTAGTGTAAAAAAAAGACAGTCGTCACCTATTGATGTAACTTTCCTGACTGAGTTGTTTTGCAAGTGAAAAGGTTGTGAAATGCTTGTATTTATATTGTGACAAGAAACAAGAGAATAGAAAAGAATTCTTTTTCTTAAAGACAGATGTAAAATAACGAGGAAATCCATCGTCAATTCAGTGTATAAATAATGGACTAACAATAAGTATAAAAAAACGTCAGTCAGCATTTGACTCAAAAATTAATTGTATATCCTGACAAGGTCATTAGCAATCGCAGCATATCTTACTCTTTAAGTTTAGTTACTTTAGTATACAGTTATGTAACTGCGATTTTATATAATCAAGTTTGTTCAAATGAAGAGCCACCCCCTCTTCAAAGGGGAGATAATTACAAACTAGTGAAAATTTATAGGCATGTCACGACCAACCAGCAGAATAAAGGAGCAATTAGAGTGGATCATAGTCATACAAAGGAATATAAAGGCTATATCAATAACAAAATTTCATCTTATAAACAGCAAAGCCATTATGTGTCATGCTAATTTAAAAGTATCTTTAGGAAGTATAGATTTGAGTTACCTCAAATACAACCTCCTTTAAATCCTTTATTACTAGTTTTAACTTACAAGTTTTCAAAACTGAATTGAATTTTGTTTTTCCTAACCATTGCTCAGGTGAGCGATGTGGCCTCTGGGCCTCTTGTTGAAATTAGTTTTAACAATTGTATATGATATGTTTTTTAGACATTCACGTCAGATCCAAACGATGCGCACCTTCCAACAATGCGTACTTCTATGCCAGGTTAACACACAATCTCAAAAATCACCATGGACGCGTTCCTTTTAATCGAGTTATTGTCAACAAATTACGTCGTTACAATCCTTCCAGCGGTTTCTTTGTATGTCCTCGCTCAGGGTACTACGTATTCACTTGGACATTGATGACCGACCACAAAGAGTGGGTCATTTCTGACTTGATCGTTGGCGGTTCTGCAAAGGGGAAACTAATCGTGGACAGTGATGAAGGATTAGAAAGTGGGTCAACGACAGTCCTTGTATATGTCCGCGGAGGACAGCATGTTTTCGTTCGAATAACGGGTGGTAATCGAAACATCGAATCCCGGGGGAGTGTACCGAGTTTTTCGGGTTGGAGATTGCCTTAGACGTGGAGACTGAAACATGCAACAATAAATGGACCTTACTGATAACATTGATTTTTCTTAATTACTTTTTACTGAAAATTTCAACTTCTTATATTCTTTAGGCAAAATTTCATTTGTTTTCTTTTAATTCTATTTTCTGTTTTCGTTTAAATAAATTTTGAAGTCAATATGACATCTGTTTATTTTAAGATTACAAATTAATTGAGATAAACGATCGTATTTAACATTCATAAGTATACCAGTATTGATACACAAACAATTGCATTGGACATGTTTTTACCAACTTCGATTGTTCTCTCCAATCTGTAATCAATAAACATACAATACGAAATAAAAATGCAAGGTGATGGGGACTGAAGAGAAAAGGAGGCAAATAAAGACTAGAAAGGGGTTGTAAAGAAATATTGAATGAGTGTTCTCAGATACTTTTAAATGTTTTCGGTGATTATTTAATATAATTATCTTTTTACAATGTTGATATTATTTTGATTTCTCAGAAAGTGGCTCCCATCAGCCATGTATCTCAAATCACTTGACTCGACACTAGTCTAATGTTTGGGCGATGTGATATATATACGAAGTTTTTATGATATTAATAGTTTATTAATTAGATATAGATAAGTTATACAGATTGTCAAATTAGTCATAAATCTCTTATAGATTCCATTAAATTACCGGTAAAAGTGTAGGATCTGTAAATAATTTTTTAAAATATTGATGTTTTGATATTGCTGATGGTTTTGTACGGGAAAGGACAATTTTTTATAAACAAACCAGCAGATTCCAAAAGTTCACCCTTTCTTTCTTTAAAAACCACGTGTTTATAGAATTTCTACAATCGATAACTGTTTGTTATATGCACCCTATAGATTCTTGCAATTTTTCAATTTCAACTGTTGATTTTTATTTGATTCTGTTTGTTTTATATGTTTTTTTTTCTTCTCTACATAAATGGTAGTTTTGCATTAACTGTCGTTTCTCAGTCCATTGCCAATGTATTTGATGGAGAATCGTTTTACAATTAACCAAAAAAAACCTCAGATAACAATTTTTGATACCCTTCTGAATATAGGCGGTCCAAACATATCATTCTTTAAATAAAGTTATTTCCACACATTTTTCCCCGAGCACTCGTGTTCAAAAAATTCTTACCTAAAAGACCAGACCTCGCTGTACAACATTTGGATTCTCTTATCCCTTAATGAATTATTTGACATATAAAATCATTACGTAAGAGTGAGGCAGCAAATTCACATGTAATTTTATGCAATAAAATGTCAACAAACCTGTCACATAAAGAATCAATTGCACCTTTGAGAACTTTTTTTCATCTCAATCCTTAGTAATTGTATCTCTTTCACACTTGTAAAAAATCCATTCAGTTAACATCTGTTTATAAAATAGTGTTAAAAATAAATAAAATATTTAATATCAACAGTATTTTTCTTTAATTATAAATCGTTAAAAATATGTTTTGTTTGACACCTACTCCTATATATGTATGCTATTAAATAAATTTGCATGTATAAAGTTTCAGTCTTGATTCAAATTGGTGACTCGACAACTAACAAACAGATAAACATGTTTCATATTTGTTCACTGTATTCAATTTTGTTAGAAACAAAGACGTTGCTTTACTACCTCCTATACATCTGGTCACATTTCTAGTGATCTCAGGGATCCATATATTTGCCCTTTGCACAGGTTCTTAAATGTACACTAAAATATTTACTAGAGTTATCGCTCTTCTTATCTTGTTTTTACATCGGCATATTTTAAACTCTTTTATTCTATGTCATTCATTTTGGTTTACTTATTTTAATTCCCTGCTTTTGAGTTGTACATGGTTACCCAGTGAAAATCCCTTATTACTTAGTCTATCGTTCAACAGAGTTGGGCGTGTGTGTTAGAGAGAGGGTGTGTTTTTGTGTTTTTATGATGATGGATGTGTACATGTAAGTATATGCTTTGTTGGAAAGTAAAGTAACGAAATGTGCATCCTGATTGTTATCCTATCTTGTCTTGATTCGTTGATATGCTTTTAATTAAACTTTTGATTACTTTTATAATTACAATGGTAAAATTAAATACCTGGAATTATAATTCATTGGGAATAATCGGTGAAAAAAGTTCACTCTTTTATTTTTTATTCTCCTATGGCATGTTAAAACTTGTGTCCAATCAGAATGCAATGAGAGAAGCCACATCCAATGCTACCCACCCGGAGCACTCTATCTGTGTGTGGTTATGTCAGATGGTGGTCTGTTTTTCATTTCTTTGATTGCTTATTAATAACAAGCATAAAAGTAATGAATAAAAGTTTGTTTTGAATAATAATGAGTATTTTTTTAATAATCTTTCACTTCTTTTTTCACTGCTCATTATATATTTCATATTTTTTATTATATAAAATGAACTGACTTCGATCATGGATTTGCGCTATGTATCAAAAATGTCAAAAAACTTATTAAGTTAAATAATATAAACAAGATATGAAATACGGTGTATAAAATGTATTGTAAATAATTAATAGGAGGCACATTTTTAGTGATGATACCGTATTAAGCGATGAAAAAATTGAACTTATTTACAAAGTTAATAGCAGTAAAACATAAACATTTTGATAGCCGTTGATTTAGGCGGTTTTGCAAAATGCATTATTTTAGAACTTTAGTATTTGAATAAAAGAAGGAAAATAAATCCAAAATCAAATACCAATTATTTAATTCATTTTTATGTTCCTAGTTTCTCTCAATAAAAAAGAAAGGACCTTCAAAGACATACCTAATGAACATTTTGAAATCTGTGCTGGATGCCTTATAATCTACACCAACAACAATTACATGTAGTTCATTAGGCGGAAGCCGCCTTTTACTCTTGCATGCTTTGTTGACCTTTCGACCTCTCAAGATGTTTGCCCCATTTCATGGTACTCCAAACGGATGTATCTTAAACTAAGGGCATACAATCCGCTTAATCATATTCGACCCCCTTCCCAATCTTTATCGTTATTACATGTATCATATCAAAAAGCGTGTGTTATGGCGAATTTATTTTAACGATTTATTTTGATTAATGTAAAAAAGTCCAATAAAAATAATAGCCTTATAATAGAACGAATAGTTACTTTAGTACTGCTGAAACGTTTCACGTTTGAGAGAAGAACGAACGACAACTCTGTATGTCTAAAACATAAACAATTCGGGTTCAACATAACATTTGATTAGCACGGACTGAAGCGATCTTTAGAAATACTACGAGGTTGACTGGAAGTGACAGGCCTTCTCTTCAAAATAAACAAGGTAACTCACGCTGCATGATTAGCCTATCTTTTATTGTCACCCTTATCTTTGATTGTTTTAACCTAAAAATGTCGCCTCCCTATGCAGGCATGCTTTAGATATCGTAATAATATGATAGCTGTTATGGTCGGGTCTTATCGAACGAACTGGTACTCTGGTACTCTATAATTACCATGATTACATGCCTGGGAGAAATTATTTGAGGAATTATCATGCCGAGTTTGTGTATACATTTATATATCCTTTCTCATTTAATGTTAATACATGCATGTTGAAGGATGGGCCAAAACTGTAAAATCTGGACAGAAATTAATACGCAAGCATAAGAACTACATTGTGTTTTGTATAGATGTGTCCCTGCTACGGAGGCACCTAACAGAAAGGGGATATAATTAAGATTGCATTGTGGATTTGCCCTGTGCCACCTCTAAATGGCAGAAGAAAACTCAACTCAGCACAACCAGAAACACTTTTCTGAAGGTGAGTACATCAATTTATTATATTTCTAGATAAGTGGAAAAATTTTTCATAACTTTTGATACATATTTCTTATAGCATAACAAATCTTCTTTTTATGATGGCAAAACTGAACCGAATACTATTTTTGAAAGTATATTTTGACTTTTCTTATTTTTGTTGACTTATTTTCTTTTTATTTTTTTTAAATACATGCAAATACATGATTACTTATAATAGTAGGCTTTTGAAAGAGAAAACAAATACAAAAAAATATTAGAGAAGTCAAATCGGTCAATATTTAACATGTTTAATAATCGCTTACTCGATATCTGACTTTTTCATTACATGTACAAAATTATCAATTCCATTGGAAATAATTTTTGGTAGTAAAATTAGTTATCAAATAAAACACAAATGCACAATACACCCAAAATTACAAAAGGTTGTTTTAATTGGATCTATTTGAAAAACTGCTGTGTACACATGTAGGTTATATAACTAGCGAAGGAGAGGGGACGGATGTAGTTGGTCAGGATCGCTAGTCTTATATTATTTCATTTGTAAATTGGTTGTTTCCAGTATATTTACACTAAACTTACTACACAAGTTCACTTTCAGCAGTTTTGAATCTTTTGTTATTTCTATATACCCACTTCACTCTTGAAGTGGGTAAAGTGGCATTGATAACTTTCTGATAAAAATGTGTACCTTGAAATAAGAAATAATATACATCCGCGTAAACGAGTACCTTTTTTTAGTATTCGATACTTGGACCTTGGATCGAGTACCCGGTAAAGTTAACTTCCCTAGAAAATATATTAAAATACCCGGTATTTCATTAAAGGTTATTTGAAGTCCTTGATTTCATTTATTGAAAGTCAGATACATAATGTGAAATAATTTTAATTTGTTAAATAAACATTGTGAGATATTCTTAATTTTTTTTTCAATTATACACTTTGTAGAAAATTCTGCCAAGAGACAGTTGTGAAGGGAATCGTGTAGATAATCTCCAGAAAAGAAATCACCACTGATATTGGGATGTATGTACCAATATTTTAATACAATCATCAAAGACAAATTTACCACAGGAATAAAAATAAAACTGTCTGGTATTCAAGGGCCTGCCATGGTAGAAGTTCTCCTGAAGAAAATATTCCATTTATTGTGGACATCATGACACAGGGCTCACCTGTCATCAGCATTAGAGACTTGTGTGATTTGTTCTACCTGGGCCATACATGTATTGAAAGAAAACAATTCATAGAACCACAAGCACATTCATTTGTAAATCTATGTAAGGTCTTCTGTGTATGTTGTATTCCTTATATAATTTGCTATTTTATAACAAGACTTTGTTTCATTGGTACTAAAACTTGATACATGAACACATAAAAATCCCAAAGCAGTTGTGATATTTATTGTTTTTTATTACTCATTAGTTCTCATTTTTGTGTGAAATTTTATAATTTTCCATTTCTTGTTCCCTAAAACCATATCTTACAAATTTTATGCATTGCAACTTGCATTTCAATTTTAACTTGTTATACTTGACAAAAACTAGAGGTACTGTGAGCAATGAACTCACTAAATGATACCCCCGCCTCCCATATGATTATAATGGAAAAGTCTATGTTTTGGTGTGGCCAGGAAACCAAAAATATGTGTCGGATCAAAAAGTAAAAGAGGAGGTGCACAATGGCAATATGTAATAAAGATTCTGTGGAGGTTTCATTAAATTTCACTCAGTGGTATAAGAGGAATTGCGGATAAGAGATGAGTACCCCAAAGCGTAACAGACGGACGAACGGACAGCTAGACGTACGTACATACGGACATACCGATTACAGAATACCCTCCCACTTTTCAAGCGGGGATATAGTAAATGTTAAAATATTCATATTGCTATTGACGTGACTTATTCTCAGGTATCCGCATCAAAAGCGAGACATATTGTTTATTTTGTTCCTTGGTTTCAATACTACAATCCAAAGTATTTTTCACCCCCCCCTTTTAAAAAAGATTATGCTTCAAATATGTGTCATTTAAGTTTTGCACATGAGAACTTGCAAACATGCTTCCGCCTATCAGTACTCTCAGTACTTTGATTTTAATTATTATTTCACTTGTAGAGATATCTACACTCTGTATGCAGGTGATAAAGGTATATTGTTGCATAAGTAAGGGAAATTTACGATAGAAAAGTTAAAGTCATCACGTTTATCATAAAGCTTGGTTGTTAGATTACCATTAACGTCTTTTTCAAATAAAATATCCAAGTATGAAACAGAAGTGTCAGACTCTGAGGTATCTTTTATCATATTCACATTTGTGAATGATATGCATTGCTCATAAGGAGCAACCTTTTTATGTTATGTAACGACATTGCTCGCGCAGAGACTCTTTTTTTTCTATCTTTTTTTCTATTTTTCAGAAATGGATTTAAATTCGCTCATTCAAAGTGGAAACTATTAATGTTGACGAAAGTTTAAACTCGATATTTTTCTTCATGGACTTGTTATTTTGTAGCAGCTTAATTTCCTTGCTTTGCTTAACCTATTTTTTAGGTTTCTAGACATACATGTATCTAACTTTAATTTCACTCTTCTTTTTGTTTTTAAAATACCGTCCGATTTTGTTATCATTGCCGTCCGATAATATATTATCTGACTGGTAATTATTATTATCGGACTGCAAGAACAAAGGCATGACGTCACAGCAATGTTTTAATATAAGATACCGTTACAACTGTACTCGTGACCTACGACGATGGCCTTCTCCTCTTGCCAGTAAACCAGGTCGTTCCCTGTACAGTGAGTGATCCTCGAGCCCCTCATCCTTAAATCTTCGACGTGTGTTCTTAATGGCAATGATAAAATATCATTAAAAAGACTTTCTTTCTAAATGTCAATAATAAGATGTCACTAAGAGGACTTTCTTTTAGGTATCCCGTTTGATTAAAAAAAACATCCATTCGTGTTCGTCTTTTATACCCATCCACATAAAGCGAATGTGGTCTGTCATTACATTATTGAACTTCAAGGCGTTAACAAACTACTGGACATTGCTAATAACAATATATCAAAGGAATCTTTCGTTAAAGTAAATAATATATCCGATATCGTTATAAAACTTCATATGGACTTATACTTCATATAAACTTCATATAATTTCTAATAAAAAAATTACAATTATTTTTTTTAATTAAGAATAGATGTGTGGACTCCCCCTCACGTCCACGTTTTTAATCTAAGTGAAAAAATGCCGCAACAGCGGTCTTTAACTTCATAGGAAGAAGAAGAAGAAGGTTTTTGGGTTCTGCAAATACTTTTTGATGATAAAATCTGCCCCGTTTGACAATTTTTACACACTTTTTCAATAAAGAGCGAATGCTGTCTTCATACCATACCCTTTCAGTTGGAATATTTGCTACCCATTTGTCACTTAAAGCGGAAGAACATTTGCACTTTTCTAATTCTGTCAAAGGATCTGGTTGAAAAACACTTGCCGTGGCTTTAAACTCCACATTAAGACATATCGAATACATATCGGCGACGAATTGTCAACAATGGTAATTTCTATTCATATGTCAACACGATATATCCTCAAGCTTGTGAGCTTGAAAAAGAATGGCCGACCAAAGTTTTGCATAAAAATATATAGGAAAATTCTTTAAAATACTTCTTCTTAAGAATATCGAAGCCATGATTGGCAATATCTATATGGAAGCATCCTCAGGTCGTGTAGATTCAAGTTTGTTTAAATCATTACCAAAGTTTTACATAGAAATACATAGGAAAATTCTTTAGAAATATTCTTCTCAAGAATAACAAAGCCATGATTGTTCATATTTATATGTAAGCATTGTTACAACGCACTTTGAAAAATTTTTTCAAAGTGCGTTAAAATTTGGGACCAAGCTAGCGCACTTTGAAAAAAATATTTTTTTTTCAAAGTGCGTGAATATCAACCATATTATCGCACTTTGAAAAAAAATGTAAAGATTGATCAATATTCCTTCAAATAATCGGTATGATAAATAACAGATCTTGGTTTGATAATTTTTTTTTATGATAAAGTCACTGTAGGACCTAAGATATTGACGTTTTAAATATTTAAGGGTTTGATAAAATAAAAGGGAAAATTAAAGGGTCTGGAAAGAAAGAGTGACGTTTGTTTAAGTTTATTAATTCGTTTCTTCTTCTTTTTTTTGATTATAGTCATTGATAAGTAGATGTAAATGTGTATAGGGGGCACTAACAGAGGACAGCTTCAAGCAACTTAGCATTTATCAAAATAAAAAGGGGCTAATTTGATTGTTCAAAACTATGAAAATTCTTTCTCTCTCATACATTTTACTGTACTTAAAAATTTCTAGTTTTCATCTGTTTTAATTAACTCATTTATTATTGAAAGTTTTCAACGTCATACCAGTTAGGTAAATACATAATTATATGAATGCTTTGAGCATAGAAAAGACATCGAGACTGGGCGAGGGGCCAGGGGAGGGGATGGGGGGCTAAGCCCCCCACTTATTTTGGAAAGATATATACATCTAATAAGCATTGAAAATGCAGTGTACCCTTTTCAGGTTTCTTGCTCCCCTCCCCCGTTTGTTACCGACCCCTATGTATTGGAAAGATAAAGATTTGGACTGAGGGATGTTATAACTGTCTTCTCCTCTTTTCGACGGGAGTAAATCAATTCATTTTTGAGGTTAGGGTTAGGCTTAGTTTTTTGAAAGATAAATAACAAATAAAATATTTCCATCACTAAAATATGATTTTTTTTTGCAAAGTGCGTAAAGTGTCTCCATGGTAAACTAGATGCTGTCATGAGACAGTAATACCCGCACTATGGTGTTTGCCTCTAAATATACACTCATTCATATTGGACTTTCCAAGGAAGAAGTCAAAATAATTCTATAATTATCACCGTACATGTATTCGTCAAATTGAACATAAAATTTTCAGATGACCATATCAACTCTGAGCCTCACATATGTATTTTAAAATACTTAATTCATAACCAGTCTGAAATAACAGAATTTAATTAATGATTGAAGTAAATTACTTAATTAGATTCAAATAAATAATTTTCCCATAATTTGGAACTTTTTAAATTTACTTTCTCAACGACATAAAATATTATTTTAGTACAAAGCGTTTTTGATGAATTTATCAAAATGTGCAAACTGATTTTAGTATTTGGTCGGGAAAAAACCCCATTGAAAATACAACCCGATTAATTTGTCAATGCCTATCTCCCCCCCCCCCCCCCCACACACACACACACTCTCTCTCTCTCACTCTCACTTTTTTTTAAAAAACATAGTTTAGTTTATTATGATAGTTTGAAATTTGTTCTTGTACTAAACAGTTTTATTTTTTACATTCACATTGGGTTTGCGTCACCCATTATCATATTTCTAGATATCACCTCTCGGCACACCTCGGCCAATTCATACTGGCAACGGAATCAGCAAAGGTTTGTCGAATGAGATTATTTAGCACATGTATGCTGACGATGCAGTGTGGTCAGTTAAAATCATTTGTGTTTTAATTGGATTATATGGATTATATTTCATGTATAATTCGTTGTCACGACCTATGACATTCGGTAAGTACAAGATTTAGTATAGATTGCATAAAAATAAATAAATGCAAATGGTTAGGTTGAAGTTCAAAAAGGGTCAACATGGTCAAAGATCATCGCATGCCACAGTCGACAAATTTCACATTGTCAAGTTATCTCCCGTTGCGGACATTCAGGATATCACAGACGCAGATCCAGAATTTTTTTTCTTCAGCACGGGGGGGGGGTGTCACACCTCAGTCAAAAAAATCAGCCCAAGATTTCCTGAGATGGAAATAAAAAATAATAATTTTCTAAGGGGGAGGATGTCCAAAGTCATTTTTATTCTCTACAGTACATATATAGTCTTATTTAAATAACTGCTAATTCCAGGGGGGGGGGGGGGGGGGGGGCTGAAAACCCAAGCCACGGACACCCGGTACCGGAAATGACAATTGATCTTCTGACTCCATAATAGTAGAAATTTTTTTCATTTGACTATTTATACATATTTTGTTTCCTATGTTTATGTATTTTTGTCTGTCCACGGAAACTTTAACCTTGCCCATATTTTTTAAGTGGATTGGGCTATACACATGGCTTCAATATTTCATAGGTAAATTTCTTTTGGCAAAACCTTTTAATGGGTACCACCAATTTTGACCTCTTGATCTCTTGACCTTGGAGTTTGACCCAATTTTACAAGAAAAATACCTTGAACTTGGCGTAAGTTTTGAACAGGTGGTGCTAGGACTTTCATGCTCTTACATGTGTAATCATTGTGAACTTTCAACAGGTATAATTATTTTTGACCTAGACCTTAGAGTTGAATCCAATTTAACTTTAAC